ATAAAAACCGTGTTTTGGCTCAACAAACGAAATGTTGAACAAGCCTCAACAAATAACAAAACAATATACGGCAAGGCTCAGAAACAAAATAAACCGAGGTTACAAATCTACGATTAAATCACAGCTGCAACGAGACTCAAATTTTCAAACGAGAATTCCATCCACACGATTAATATCCCGACTCACGACACAGCGAACATCACTAACCGGAATATATATATCGACTTCAACCAACGATACTCAAGTCACCGAACACGAAAATAATCAAATGATATCAAACCCGAACAACAATTTACGAGAAAGTTTCGATCGAAGAATACATTTCTTCTGGAATAGACAAGCTCGGGGGATGGATCGCAACCTCGAAACTCCTCAAAAGCTCGGACTGAAACTAGACAAATGGCTCGGGAACTGGACTGCTGAGAGGTAGACGACGGCAGGGCTACTCGAAGGTGGGCTCGCCGAAGAAGAACGTGGTCGCCGGAAACAATGGCGGACGGCGGTGGTTGCAGGTTCTCACTCCGACGGATGGCTCAACCTCAGCTATGGAGTATGCTGCTGCGATGAGGGATGTCGACGGCAGACTTATAGGCGAACGGGGAGGATGAACTCGCGGGAATAAATGGCGACTGAACGACAATTTTTTTTTATGTGAGAGGTTTTGATATGCGAGAGAGAGACTTGAATCATGGAAAATCGATTCTGCTCAGATAGATATATGCGAGAGAGAGAGAAATAAGGAGAACGTGCGTTGCTGGGGGAAGATCTCGCAGGGAAAATCGCAACCAAAATTAGAACGGTAGAGGATGATGACTCTTCCTTTCCATCACGTGCGGGTAAAGAAATAAAAGGGGTTGTGGATGATAACTTACATGGGCCAAGAGTTTCCAATTTGGGCCAGAAATTTAATAAATGACCAAGGCTAGCATTTATTAAACAAATGGGCTAGATATCATACAATTTGAGTTGGAAACAAATTTAATCGGCCGAAGAAAATACAAAATTTCGATCGATTCATTTGACGACGAATAACAAATTGAATTACACGACTTATTATATTAAATAGACTACATCTAATTAAAAATAATAAGTCTAAACAGAAAGATGTCGAGCAATATCGAAATTATACGAAATGAATAATAAAATAACATACGATAATTAAAATAAAATCTAATATTCGAACGGGGCATCACAATAACTCCCATCAAAGAGAACAAACTCCCAAAAAGGAGAACTGAAACACAAAATAAAGAAAACCACAAACAAAAAGAATAAACACAACACCAAAACACATAACACAGACACAATCTCCACAACTAACAACACACTAAAAAACAAAACTCGGAAAGGGCCCTCCCCATCCGACCAAAATCTCTGCTAACACCTCCAAAAGGACAATCATGAGAGGCCCCACACGAAGAACAAGCCCATTGCCCGCGCATGAGCTCTAGACACTCCAACAAACGGTTGACTAGAGCTGGGCAAGCCGAACAACGACCCCGCCCAAAGGAGCCACCCTTGAACCGCATCGAGAAACCTGCAGATTGAAATGCCCCCGCATCAAACCGACCATGATTGTCGAAACCACCAAAGGAGACCGCAATCATTGTCGTCGGACCTGTCCATCTCAGCACCAGAAACGACTCGGACCAAGGGGAACACCCGGCCCCTAGCCCCAGATAGGACCGACGGCCGAAAAGGAGACAAATCTGTGGCAGTACCTACCGCAAGGGTTTGTTATAGTAAATTGAGAATTTGTTGGAGAGAAAAATATTTAAGTGAGAAAAATGATGACTGAAGTTTTAATTAAATACCAATAATGTAACACCCCGCCTTATCGTGAAACCAGAGTGCGAAAATTTTGCAAAGTCTTTTAAAAATAAAATCTTTTACTTTGCAAAAACTGATTCGGGGTGCTACCGTAAAAACGTGACTTATTTTGGAAAACCGTTATTTTAAATTTGTAAATAAATCATACGATTACTGAGAGCATAATTTTTCCAAAAGTCCGGTCAAAACATAAGTTCATCAAAACATCATCAGCGGAAACGTAAATCGTCATAATATATACACAGTCAAAACATAAAAGTCCTGAAGCCTCCGTCATCTCACGCTCCCGGCCCGACGTCCTGACCTGAAAAACATGATAACAGTGGGAAGTGAGCACTATGGCACTGTGCTCCGTGGAAACTCATACTAATGTTAACATTGAAAATAATAACAACATCATGATCTTAGTATATACATAACCTCAACATGAAACCGGTAATAACATGAACATGAATCTGATATCGTCACGCGAACGTGAACCCTTATCGTTACCTCATCTGCCGGCACAAACTAATGCCGGACACCATGTGCACACTCTAGTGGGCAGACTAGGGCCACTAGAACCCAGAATGGACCGGTAACCATTCCGAGCGGATACATGACATGAAATACATACCTCAAACATGGTACCATTATTATAATCAATGTAGTACTTAGTCTGAGTCCCCACCTGATCCGTGAAAATAAAGGCAGTGCTGATACTCGTGACCTGATCAAACTGAAATATAATATAAATAATTACTAA